AACACAGTGTTTCCAATTTTTTTTGAAAGTAAACCCCCCAAAAAAAAAAAGAATTCATTCGTGGTTTTCATCCGTCCCCAAGAAAAAAACCACAAGATACAGAACCCCCTGGCCGGGAAAAAACTCCCCCTTTATGCAATTCCCCAAATCCCCCAGGGCGTTTCGCCTTGGGGGAAGGGAGTCCCTGTTCGGGGGAGACCCCGGGGGGTTTGGTCCGGGGTTGTTAGGAAGGGGAGATCAATGGGCAAAGGGTTCCGCCACCCCGGGTTGTGGAAACCCCCCCCCCCCCCCCCCCCCACCGCCGTGTTATCCCCACCTGGACAGATTCCAGTACACTAGCTTGGAAGAAGAAGACACTTCCGAAAGCCGGGATTGCCTCAACCCCGACTGCCTCATCCAGCTAGAAAATGTCAACATCGAGTGTGCCCCCGGCTCCCCCAACTGGACGAGACCCCCCTCAACAACGCCCTACCCATCGATGGCCCCCGATATCGACGGCACCATCGCGCCCATCCCCACGAGTGCTCCCGTGGGCGAGAGCGAGAGCTCGAGCGAGGTTAGTGCGAGGTGGCGGTAGAGTAGCTGCGTTTCCATGCTGTCCTTTTGGAAGCGCGGATCGTATATACTCGTACTGACAGTGCGTTTTTTTGGTTGGAATGTTGTTGTCGAGTCAGTCACGATATGACAAATCATTCTAGTTGGATGCTATTTGGATGGCGGTGTAGCTTTGTCCAGTCTCGTGGCCAAACGCTGCTGTGCGTGGCAGCGTCCGTCTCCCACGCAGCCGCAGGAAAATGTCACCAACCGGTACTGTATTTCACCCAGGGATCTATCTATACCAGGTAAGGTCCCACATACAGAAGTTCCCCCCCACACCATGTAACGATTGGCTAATCACGTTATAATTCGACCGCTCCTACTGCTGTCGTCGTCACTCCTCAGATCGGATCTTTCGAGAACGCCGACGACTTGAACGGAGCCCAGGCAGGGCTCAAGCCCCCTCTCCGGTTTCCCGGCCTGGGGGGCGGTGGGGTGTGGCAGGCGGTTGGGGTGGTCGCCATGACGGCGGGCTGGTGGGCCGTAGTTGGTAGCCTAGGGGTGCTTGGAGGACTTGCCGTGGTTGCGACAGACGTGTGATGGCCTACCATTCCAAGAGCGACGGATGACGATTGATTACGCCCCACATTTTAAGAGTGGAGCAGCAGAAGAAGTGCGCGATCTTTCGCAGCATGGGAGGGTGTAGTTTTGTGGGGGTGGTTTTCCTTGCCGTGGTGGTTTTCCGCTACTACTGTACTTTGTTATTGTGCTTGTTGTGTTGAGAACCAAAGCCATTCGTTTTGTGATTGACATCCGTCCTCGGGTAGTTATTTTGGTCAAGCATCTTATGGATGCATTCGTTGGTTCGACGCTCATCACATTGCTACCGGACAGAAATCAACAGCAGTCCCCACTGACAAAAACGTTATGGGTCCTCCTGCATGCTGTATCGATCGGTGACACTCGCCCGCGTTCTCCTCTCTCTGTTGTAATCACTCGTAAGAATTGTTATTATTTGCTGGAATTTAAATACCTGCTCAACCTGGTACTTGTTGGTTTTTTCTTGTATCATAGGTCAGTCATCGGCGCAGGTACTTTGCGTTTCATTTGTTTGTTGTATGGAGTACAAGATGATAGCGCTTGTTTTGCGGAGCGTTCGCCTTACTTTCCTTTTCGACCAGACAGCCAAGCAAAAACATGCTGCATCTGTATGTAGCCATGTTGCGTAGCAGTGTCGGCGTTGTGGTTTTTGTGCGTGTGAAGTTCCTTGCAGGTTTGTGGCTCTTGTATACATAAAACCTCTTTGTGTTGTGAGAAAATAACCCGAACAACATATACTGTTGTAGGCGAGCTCCGACACGGCTGTGAATTAGTGAATGTTGCCGTTTTTTTTTTTTTTTGCCTACGACATGCACGAAATACCAAATACCCGTTTTTCTCAGGATTTGTTCGAGGGTCAGCAAACATGTTTCGCAGCATTGTTTCTCCACATGTTCAATAGACAAACGTTTGAAGGGATTTGCCCTGGGATCTATCTCCTTTTGACGATTGCGAGGCGACAAAGACGTTGCTATCTTTCCAGATCGACGCCCGCTTTTACCCTTCCTAGTTGTAGTGGTGGTTGACGGAGTATGCTCGCAACCTCGCAGCACCCAGGATCAGTCAGGGTTCGAATCCCGGCGTAAGCGAGCTTTTCTTGCAGAGGAGTTTGTTCTCTCGCTGCCGTTCCTGGCCCAGGTGGAAAGCGCTACTAATAGTTCGTGTGCACGCGTTCTAAGGGAAGAGAGTGCTGCACTATTATCGCGTTGGTATGTGCCCTCAAGGGGAGGAAGCCTTGTGTCTGTGTGACGACCGATTGGAGTAGCTCTTGCCCGGCAGAATAGCTGCTAGCTTGTGTGCGCTCATGCAGAATCTGGATTAGCTGGGGGGTCGTCCTAGCTTGCGTCGAAGAAGAGCCGGGAGGCATTCTGGACAGAGGTTAGACCGATTTTCACTTCTTTTTGTGATGTAAGCAGGATTTTTTCCTGAAGTAACTTGAATACTTTACAAACCATGCAGCAGCATGAGAAACATCATACAAGACGACAGGAAAACCAAAAGGACGGCAGGGGGGGGGGGGGCGCACAAGGCTATCCTTCCCCCGGTACCTTACAAAGGTCCAACACACGCACTTTCGTACACACAAACACTTTCCTCGTCTTTGGACAAGACAAACCAACCGAACCCCCATTCTTGGTTTGACTTTCGTCTCCCGGAAGATGAAGCAAATTGGTTGCTGTGCGTTTTAGTTCACGTTCACCTACCTACCTGCTGCGTCCAGCGAGCGGCTAGACTACACCAACCACCGCCTTGGGCGTCAACATCAACTTACATATTTACCGCACGCTCCGTGCAGCAGGAGGGCAAAGTGCCTCGAGACAAAACATGCTTCCACCACAAGTTTCCAAACAATAAAGCCACTCACACCAATTAGAGGAGCATGCCTGCGACTGACGCGCTGAGACAAGACACGATACCATCTCTTGTTGTCCCTCCGACGAGACTGCTGTAGCCAAACGGCTCATGGAAAAACCGGATGATACCTCACAGCAAAACCGGAGTCTCATCACGTCCGGCCTGACAATGCGCTGGAGAACACAACAGATTGTTCGCCAACCCGCCCATCCATCCATCCACCACCTGTACGACATGGTTTCACTTCCTATTCCAGACTAGGTAGGCCTGCACACATAAGACTCCAATACGCAAGTCACGAGACAGCAGGGAACAAACCAACTCTATACGGTCTCTCGGTTCACATGAAGCATTCACTAATAACCGGGCTAACCGGCAGCCGGGGAAAAAAACAGCACACAGCGTAGATTACGTCCCCCGTTCCACTATAGTACGGCACCCGCTTCTTCGCGAAGCTGTCGCTTCTCTCTCCCGCTTGTCAATCGTTTCATCACAACCTTTCCCGCAAAGCAAAAAAAAAAATACGTGGTGAGATACATCATATTTTGTCCTCTCACGTTCCATGGGAAACGCAGTCATATCGTGACAAGAACCGGGTAGCGAAACAGGTAAAAGAAGCACGCCCCATCCCAAGAACCGCACCGTAAAATCAGGGCAAAGAAAAACCTCAGGACCAAAACCTGAGGTACGCAACCGTGAAAACCTTCCGTGAGCGGAGGAGGCGGGACAACACGGCACCGCGCCCAAACTTGGAGAGATGCGTGCACACACCCCGCCTTTTGGAAGAGCGGTCACCCCCGCAGGGTAGGGGGGGGGGTTGCGCAAGAATAGACACCGAGCACTCAAAAAATATTCATCAAGACCGAAGAGTGAGTGAGCAACATCGAGGAACAAGTTCTAGTTGAGCTCTTACGGCAAGCGAGAAGATTTTCTCGTCTACCTTGTACAGTACTGTAGGGGAGGTGGGTCAGGGTCAAAGCCAGGCCGCACCTTCGAGCAACGGACGAGTACACCGCTTTCGAAACAGCAAATGTAGATAATTCATCGTGTTCACATGTCTAACGCAAAAAGACTGCTGTAGCTCCCTACCCGGCGGGTTCACTCCCCCCGCCCCCGACCACTATCATGACATTGGAAAGACGTCAGCCAGTGTCGGCAAAACCAGGGCGCGTTTTATCACCGCCAACAAGAAGACGCCACAAAGGGAGAAGAAGGCGAAACAACCACCGTCACTACGTCGACGGAAGCCTTTACTCTCTCCCGCGTGCCGCGGACGTTCACCACCCCCTCCCCCCCTCCCCGCCCCAGAACAACGCCTACTTCCCGTCATAAATTACACGTCAACTCCCCCCCCCCCCACTCCCCAAAACCCTTCATTTACCTCCCATAAACCCCCTTCTCTCATCACCACCCCACTATAAACAACCCCCTCCTATTTTTCCCCTCTTTCCTTTCCCCTCCCATTTTTTTTAAAACATCCACAAACCCCCTCTTCTTGGGGGGGGG